GCCCTAAATGAACTTACATGCAGGCCATCTTTTCCCAAGTTGGCGCCCTGCTGTGACATGTTGGAATGTATCTCCTGGAATTCCTGCACCTGGCTGTGAATTCTCGGATTTGTAGCTTAATGCACTGGAGCACACAAATTTGAGGAATATGGAGGTAAGCTTGGACCAAAACGAGAACTGTCCACTTTGGCAGTGCTACAGCTTCACCCTAATTCTATACCCCAGAACATTTTACAGCGTACAAAAAACAACCCCCAATATCAGATGCTCCATTTTTAAAGTCATGATTTGCTCAGTTATGTTGGGCTGAATAAGCTATATTAGCCTGGGCAAGACCATTAAACCATGTTTAAAAAGAAGTGGGTTCATATGATATATTATCAGCCCTACAAGGCAGACCGACCAAGAAATAGATTCCACAGAAGACTAAAAACTACATTTATTTGCAGGTAGTCCTCACTTAACAACCATTTGTTCAATGACCGTTCAAAGTTACAGTGGTGCTGAATAAATGGTAGTTATGACCAGTCCTCAAAGTTACAGCCATTGCAGTGCCCCCGCCATCACGTGATAAAAATTTGGGTGCTTGGCAGCCTGCCCACATTTACAACCGCAGCATGTGCTGCAACTCCCTCCACCCGCCTATCTCTCTCCCATCTCTGCCCTTTTGGCCGCCCTGCACTCCACTGCCCCTGCTGCCCCCCACTGCCCCAGCTGATCTTCACCATCTTCCTCCTCCTGCTGCTGACGAGGCTGGAGCAGCTGCTGGCCCTTACGTGGCATCACGGAGGCCTCAGAAAGCCATGCAAAGGCCTCACGTGGCGTCACAGAGGCCTTGCAAAGGGCCAGCAGCTGCCTTGGCCAGACACACCTCAGCAGCAGCAGGAGGAAGATGGCGAAGGTCAGCTGGGGTGGTGGGGGGCAGATCCTCGCCTAATGACCACAACCAGGACTACTGGGGTTGCCATCACTAAGCAGGGCAGTCACATGATGTTTCACCTAACAACCATTTCACTTAGCAACCAAAATTCTGGTCCCAGTTAGAGTGGTTAAGTGAGGACTACCTGAGGTGAAGGAGAAAAACAAATACCTAAAACCTCCAGACTACAAGGCTCCTGAACTCAAGTAAGCCTCCTTAGTAGCTCGCTTAGACTTTTGCAGATGCTGCTCACGAGTTATGTTAAATCAGCACTTGTATTTTTAAACGGGAACTAGGAAGTAACTAACCCCAAAAACTGACTCGTGCCAATCTCTGCTTTATTATTTTGCTGATTTCTTATTATTTTGCTTATCTCATTTTAAGCAGAAAATCTAACCCATGTTGTGATTGGCATTTGACGTCATGACTGCTCAGCATTTTCCTCCTTCCTTAGCTTGGCTATAGTAGTATAATCTTGCAAGTCCTTGATGGTGCGTCCTGTGTTCCCTCTTTTATATCCATGTGAATTAGGGGGTGTCTCTGAGACTTTCTCATAATCCTCCCCCATCATTTGGACTTAAGCAAAGTTTCCCTTTTTGTTGCTTTTGGTAATGGATCTCCCCTCTCTCCATCAAAGTCATCTTCTTTATTCTCTGCACCAGTGTTTCTCAACCTTGACCACTTGAAGATGTGTGGACTTCAACTCCCAGAATGCCCCAGCCAGCAATG